ATTGTTATTCTGGGTCTGGGTGTTATGTGTATGTGAAATTATATGTTTGTAACCGCACCCACGACGCAGGAGAAAATCCTAATGTGGGGCAACGTTTCTTTAACAAAATAAAAAATAAAACTGTTAATGACCTTTCCTCCGCAGTGCGTGGGAAAATCAACTTCCGAATGGAATGGTTTCTTCAATGATTGGTTCCATCGTATGAAAAAATGTGTCAAATATTGCGAAGAATACTTCGAAAAGCAATAAAACCATTTTTAGATAGTCTTTTTTGTTCCTTTTTAACCGACTTCCAAAAAGGAGGAGGTTCTCAATTCGACCTTACGATTCCCAAATGTTGAGTGCCGCCCGTGTACATAACAGAATATCTTTTAAACTGTGATTGTGATGTAACTGCGCGAACTGTTATTAGGAATAACCGTTACTCGTCCTTACGAGACCAATTGATACCTAGTATATTTTTTTTATTTTAAAATATAGATTTGCCCTATGCTGTTACAAACATACAATTTCACATACACATGACACCCACACCCAAACCCGGCACAACAATTTGTGGATCACAAAAACTGTTGTTCCGTGCGGGAATGGAACCCGCGACACGTTGCACGGCAGCCAGTTGCCCAGCCACCGCACCAACCGTGCATTCAAAATCAATTTGTATGATACTTGTAACGATAAATACGACTCACACACCTGCCAAAATTTAACAACTGTCCCCTGTGTCTGTTTGATGGTAAAATATCGGGGGTCATTTCGCACACAACTTAATTAATATTCTTGTTAACATACTTGCACTAAAGGTCAATTTATATCAGGATTTACGTCGATACCCCATCTGTAACTTGATATCTTTTAAAAATAATCTTGTGAACTTATCACTCAATTCTGTACATATGCCAACAATTTATGTAAAGGTAATATTGGCATTGATTTCCCGGTTCTTGCTTAGTCGAGCCATGTCTAACTATCAACCTGTAAATCTCTTCTACTTTGCAAAAATTTTCTTTCAGAATAATAACATCCTACTGACAATAACAAACACAACAACGTTTTTGAGTTCGCTCACCAATACATTTTGCAATTAATTAATTCATAAATATATGTATAGATAGATAAACTAGCAATTCTCCCTTCAGGCACATCTTACTTATCTCTTTATTTATAGATGTTGTATTAATGATATTGTATTGTTTTGTACATTTTCCTGACACCGGCACCGCCTAAGGCCAGAGAAATAAACGTAAATGGTCTCCCAAAGCTTAAAATATTGTCCTACTTTGATAAAAAAAAACATAATAAGTACTTGAAATAGACCACCGATAGCACACTCTCCTCCATATCAAACCTATTCCATTGTTCACAGACAAAATATAATCCAACCTATTTATTATTGGAAGAAAATAAACATAACAATATCCTTTTTATGATTATTATTTACGGAATAATCTTCGGATTGTATTTTGGGCGGAAATTAACAAGTTAAAAAGCAGCGTGGGTTCCTTATTTGGAATCGATGGTGATAATAATGTAATCTGTTACGATTCTACGCACTGCGCTGTTTACTTGGAGAAATATTTAAAGAGCAGACCATTTGCCCACGCGTTTTTATACAAACTTTTGAGAAAAAAAAAGTGGGCACTATTGAACCGTGTATAATGAAACTGCACCTTCGACGTGATTGCTGGGCAACCGTCAGCCGTGCAAAGGGTTGTGAAACAACTCTTTATAACATCCGTAAATTGTAATTCCGTGGATTTTTATGAGAGGAAAATAATTAAATTGAGTGTAGGAAAGCCATGCTTCGGTACGAATGTGTCGGCTCGGCCGGAGTAATACCACGGCCTCACAGGAAACCGGGGTAAAACAACAACAGCGTTGTGATTTGCCGTGTCAGTGGGATTACCGGAAGCCCAATCCTTCCCCTCCCCAATCCCTAAATATCCAAATCCCCAATCCCCAAAAGGTCGGCAACGCACTCGTATCTGCTCTGTTGAAGCGGGTGTCCATGGGCGGCGATCAGGTAATCCGTCAACTCGTTTGCCGACTTATCACATAAAAAAATTACTTCTCTCACCCAGGGTAAGGTGAGAGAGATTATCAGACTCTTTCTGATTAAAAAACCGACCGCTCCTTTTTCTGCTCCTTATTGCGCTAGACTCGCAATCCTGGCAGATGTCTATATTTTAGGACAAAAGAGCATACAGTTAACCTGATGGTAAGCAATTAGCAACACCAGCACGTTTCAATAGCGCGGGTCTGCGGACGGCGAGTAAGGGTAGCTCGCCGCTCGACCAGAACCAGACCCGAGCGAACGGCGCGTAGCGTTCCACGCGCGCCTCTAAGAGCCAATAGACTACGACAGACGGGGCCCTATTGGGCTGATGTTCAGCCGGGGTTGCGGAGTAAGCTCAACGAGGCACCTCGACCTCGACCCAGAGCAGGAGAAGGAACGGAGAGATTTTAGTCAGCAAAAGTCGGGAGAAGTCATTAGATGATTTTCTACTCACAAAAAAATGCACGTTTCAATTAAAGTTTTACAAAATGCTTATATTCACTACCCACGCATTTTCTTACTTGAAATAACAAAAGCGGTGTTTCCTTGCCCTAGGTATTTTATTTCTTAAATCAAACGTTTGTAATTTCTTACTACACAAATTCAAACAAAAAATCATAACCTAAAATCCAATATTTCACAGAACCAACGGTTTCTTTCCTATTTCACTTCATTTTAACCTAAAAAAATTGTTTTTTCAACAATGTGAACGTATTGATTATTTTAGAGTACTTCATAAATGAATTCTGCGAATATTCGTATCGAAGGAATATTTATAAGGAACCTTTTGTTTAGTGAAAAACCTTAGAAAACTTTCTTACGCAGACGTTTCGTTACAAAAAAAAGAACCTATACTCTTCTAGCGACCCGCCCTGTCTTGGCACGCAATGGTGATGCTAAATTTCTTCACTATTTAATGGACGTTATTATACATATAAAACTTCCTCTTCATCATCTCTATCTATTAAAAACCGCATCGAAATCCGTAGGGTTGTTTTAAAGATTTAAGCATACATAGGGATAAAGAGACAGAGAAAGCGACTTTGTTTTATACTATGTAGTGATGAAATACTATTTGTGCTCGATGAAAAAATATTGTACCATACTGTATTGTTATACCACGATTCCACATTCTCCAAGCTAACATTTTATTTAAGTACACTTCCCGCTTATAAAGTTCCGATTTCCACGTACAAGAAACAGATTCTATTTCATCGTCGGTCACTATTCCAGACTGTATAGCGGACAAATTCCGATACGTCTATTTGGCAGACCTAGTAGAGACCAGCAAATAAATACTACAACTTCTAGAAACTACTGGTCAACTATATGAACTATCAAGCTGATCCAGAGAACTCCATACCGTATTCAAACGTAACAATTAATTCAAAGTTGTGGCAGCTTTCTTTTTATCTTCTTCAATCATGTTTTTTTTTTAATCTGGGATTATTATCGTATGATTTTTCTTGATTATGACCCTTATGGTTGGAGCAAGAGGGAGTGTCATACCCGTTTTCACCAACATCCCCTAAACTACCACATAAGTATGGGACCCCTTACCTAAAAGGTCCCCGAAACCATCCTCTAAATAAAATTTCGTTTCACCATCATTTCAACCCCCTTACTATGGGTCACATAACTATGTGACGTATTTTTCGAAGTTAATGACTGATCCCTTCTAAAGATCTGACTGACACAAAATATCCCGATCATTCTACTGCTCCCGGCCCAGGCCGCGCTACAATATTTCGCTTGACCTAAAACCCCGGCTTTGTCAAATATCTTATGTCAGAACGGTTTATAGGTAAAAGAAAAGCTTTTATTAATTTTATTACAATTTTAAGGTAAAAGGACTGTTGACTGTCCATCATATTCCACAGCATTACACCTTTTTACATGCCATATTTCATTCAGATCCGATCAGTAGTTTTATGTTAGAGTTACAAATATCAACCCCGAAACCCTACATTCTTTAAAATTTCCACGTTTATTTTGGTAAGATAAAAGTTACATACTTAAAGTATAAGAAACATTCTGATAAAAAAATATGTTTTGTACTGTTTTCCTCTACATAAAAGACATCCTCATAGTCTCCACGCAGGCATGTTACTGATCACAGTTTAATGTTCCAAGTTGTTAAGAGAGTCCTGCTAGTCTGTATTAAATACGTTTTTTGTAGTGTAGTGATAGTGAAATATGACTCTGCCATCAACACACGGCTGTTTTTCCCGTACGGCAATTGAGATTAGGATACAGCAGACACATTATGAAATCCAAAGAAAACTATTACGCATTGCTACTATAGCAAGAACTACATTAGCATACCAGACCAGAATTCTAGTCTAAAATAAACAGATTACACATCTTCCTCAAGTACATTTCGCGAACAAATAAATTGTATTCTTTATGGAAACTTTTTCAATTTACTACCTGGTGACTGGAGACTTGTAACTGACATTTATTAAAGTTTTGCGGACCATTAATTACGATTCTATGGCTAATAAATGTGATATAGTATTTGCATATAACATTAGCATCGTATTACCTCATTATTTTTATATGTTATTTACAAATGTACGTAAAAAGATTTTCATTAAAAATTTTGTTTTTATTGAATTCCGAGAACATTGTGCAATGTGGAATTAATTTATCGGTTTGTTTTTTAATATATTTATATAACGATTTTCTGTGTATTTTAAAATAGAAAAATGTGCGTTATGTTTGATAAATTAAACGCGACTATTTTATTTATAGTTAATGATTAGTTAATATTGTCAATAATTATTGTTGTTTTAAAAAATGTACTCCATAAAACTACTAAAATTTATCATAAAATAATTCTTAATATACAAACTGGTTACAACAAATCTTTTGAATAAAGAAACTCTTTACTTAAAATTATCAAGACAAAATTAAAAAAGTTATCGAAATAAAAAACACTTACCGAAACCAAAACAAAAAGACGAAAAAATCAGCAACAAGTTCATAAACTTGCACAACGAATCCAATATATATTTACACAACACTAGACACTAAAGTTTCCTTAACGAATTTAAATTAAAATAGAGATGCGAAAGTATAAGTAACGGATAATATCGATGTTTTTAGAGGACAAGATGCGTACGTCCCATTCGGTCGGGCTTACGGAGTCGACTGAAATTGCACGCTGCGAGAGACGGTACAGCTTAGGGCATGGGGCACCTACCTAATGTAGTACCGATGCAGACCGATCCTTTAAGACAATGCAGTCACTTCAAATGCATCATTTCTAGCATTTAACATGTATTTTTCAGCGAATAAAATTATTTGTTTATTTGTTTTAAGGTGATTTCCCGTATTGCAAAAATCTTCCTGTTTATTAGCGTTGTTATGTTTTTCGTAATTGTGTAGGTGTACGAGTAGGTTAGTATTCGAGTATGTGGTTTATTTGGTTTACCTGTTATTTTTTTTCGAGATCCGATTTTGTTATTGAGTACGAAGTCAATCGCTCATCGTTCTGTTGTATATTGATATCAATGTCCGTGATACGTATTGACGAATTATTTGTTGAAGAAAATTATGTTTTTTTTTTTACTTTTTCTTTTTGTCATGGCCAAGGTCCGATTAAAAAATACCTGTGTTCCTAAGACAGGTGATAATATAACAAAAGGTTTATCTTCGTGTAAGATAGGTTTGTAGGTTCATTAAACCTTGTATAGGTAGTAAACAAGAAAATTTGGGCCTTATTTTCATCTAGTTTATATCTATTTTTGGACACGATATTTCCAGCCTGTCACCTTAATGAGTTACGACACTGTTTCCATCGACCTTTCGATCTGATTTGTGTCATAGTGACATAGGTTAAATTTGGTCCTAACAGGAACCTACACGTTTTATTATGTTTGTAACTAATTGTTTTTATATTAAATCGTTTTTTTATTTAAATCAGAATTTAAAACGAAAAATTGAATATTAATTTAAGAAAATGGAAAATAATATTTGTCTGTAGGGTTATTTTTTTGTGACGGGTAAATCATCAAATGACTTCTCCCGCCCAGGGTCGGGCGAGAGAGAGTGTCAGACTCTTACTGACTAAAACCCCCCCTGTTCCTTCTCCTGCTCTGGGCCGAGGTCGAGGTGCCTCATTGCGCTTACCCGCAACCCCGGCCGCATTTGTCGCCAATGACTGTACAACCGGCTACTGTGCATCGGCGGTTCAATTCCCAAACGGAACAACTATCTGTCCGATCCACTTAGTTGATCACAGTCTGGGTTTAATGTTTATAAGAAATTGTGTGTTTGGTGCCAGATATTTTAAGAAAAAACAGACTTTTAATACTAATTTGCAGCACACGGTTTTGCCTGAAATATTTCATAATAACATTACAGTGATTTTGCTTTTAGGAAAATGGCTAGGAAGTGTAGGTTTTTTACCCCACCATAATGTCCTTTTGGCAACAATTAGCTCCTATACAGAGCATCGAGTTATACCAACCCAACTATAAAGAACTCATGTCCTACAAATTAGCATGATAAATATATCAATAATATTTTTTGCTGAATAAACAAGACACAACGCTATTACGCTTCAAAAATTCCATTACAAAAGATTAACAGCTACACAGCGAAAATTTTGCCGAAGTTAAAATTAATTGTCCACAAATTAATCGTAACTTCTCGGGTGGCGACCAACCAACTGAGTAGGGTGTTGCCACCGCGGAATCGCTGACAGTGACTCGATACCGCTTGTCCATCAAAACCATTAATTTAAGATACACTTTGTCGACCATATTGTTGTTTTCCACTCGCTACTTGTTAGACTCTTCTATCGTAGTAACTTTTTTTAATGTAGTGGGGACCTGGTGGGGGTAATGTACCCAAGAGGGCAACATCATTGGAAGACAAAATCAATATCATGAGCCGAAAGACGTCCACACCTGGACAAAGACCTGTTCTTTAGACTTCCACTTCTAAAGACAATTCGCCACTTGCATCCATTGGCGCCCCGTAACTACGGTTCGTCGATCCACCTGGTGCGAGGTCTATCTATGCTACATCTTTTGGTCATCACGATGTGGCCGTTTCCACTTGAGTTTGACCATTTTAAGCGCTATTTAGGCTACTCTGCATTCAAGGTCAATTTCTAAATTCCAGAAACTTCAACCATACCTTTCTCCTGTGGAGCACACGCTGGCGGTGGGCCCTGCTAATGCGAAGATCCACCGTGTCCAGTGAAGTGATCGACAGCGGCGACCGCTCGCAGCAAGCCTTAGTCGAAGCCATGGTGTGTAGTGAGAGGAACTAGGAAGACCGAGTGCGTGAGGGAACTAGTCTTGTGCGGGTCTGCGGACGGCGAGGAAAGGTAGCTCGCCGCCCGACCAGAACCAAACCCAAGCGTACGGTTCGAGGTATTCGAGTCCGTCCCAACTTGAAAGAAAAAACGTCGAAAGTGCTCTACGAATTGTTACCGTAACTTCTGGACTCTCTGTGTTGTTCAGATGGCTCTATTCAAAGCGTACGCAACTCGTAGCGCGCCCTACACTCGGAAGCAAATGACGAGCTTACGTAACTTACGTATCATTTGTTTAAAAATGTTGTCGTGTTATAAGTTATTCTTTGCACACCCTTCTGTATTATGATGTAAGATTTATGTGACGCAAGTAACAAACAATGTCTTAAAAGTTCTTTTGTTTTCGCGATGACTGAGTTAAAAACATGTTATGAATTTGTCGTAAGGAAATTTATTTGTACACAGACGTGTTTGATTATAATACAAATAGTAGAAGAAATGTATACGGTGGTCCCGTACGTTTAACTTGAAAGGCCGAAAATTAATATCGGAACAACCAGCCATCAATAAAACAGTTTAATAAAAGAACGAGACGGAAACACTGGCACGACCTTTTGCATAGCAAAATAAGTTATCATGCAAAGGATAAAGAACTCTAAATAAACATACATAAAGCTACTTTTATTTATTTCCGTATGGATTAAAACGACTTAGATTATTTACAAAAGGTACTTAATGTTTCCCTCGAAGCAAAGCGTCGTTTTATTTTGCAAACCTATGCAGGCTCCGGGCCAAATTTTCGAACCTAAATTTGAATGCATACCAATGTTGTGTTCCACTTTACAGAGCAAATTTATTTTAGGTACTTCGCACACTATATTTATATTTCGTACCTTTTTTTTTGCCATAGGTTGGCAAGCGAGCAGATGAATTATCTGATGGCAAGCAATCAGGGTCGCCCATGGACACTCGGAGGTTAAAGGAAAGGAGTTACTTCATACAAGTGCGGCGCCGGCCTCTTGTGGATTATTAGGGATTTAAGGATTAGGGATTTGAGGATTGAGCCCCCTAATTGACAATTGACTGCACGGTTGGTGCAGTGGCCGGGCAACTGGCTGCCGTGCAACGTGTTGAGGGTTCGATTCCCGCACGGAACAACTCTTTGTGTGGTCCACAAATTGTTGTTCCGGGTCTGGGTGTCATGTGTATGTTAAATTGTATGTTTGTAACCGCACCCACGACACAGGAGAAAATCCTAATGAGGGGCAACGTTCTTTTAATAAAAAAATAAATTGTAAGCCCCCAGGGTAGGATTGGGCCTCCGGTAATCTCATTCACACGACAACACACAACTTTTGATGCTTCACGCCGGTTTTCTGAGAGGCTGTAGTATCCCTCCAGTCGAGCCGGACCACTCTGTAGAAGCAAGACTCTCCCACGCTCTTCTTTTAACTATTTATGAAATGCCAACACATACAAAATCCAGGGACGATCTCCGGCCACCGTAAGCACGGGCCTACGGTCGGCGAGTAAGGGCAGCTCGCCGCCCGACCAGAACGAGGCCCGAGCGTACGGCGCGTAGCGTTCCGCGCGCGCCTCAAAGAGCCGTTAGACCACCACAGACGGGGCCCTAAAGGGCTGATGTTCAGCCGGGGTTGCGGGGTAAGCGCAATGAGGCACCGCGACCTCAGCATAGAGCAGGAGAAGGAACAGGGGGGTTTTTAGTCAGTAAGAGTCTGACACTCCCTCCTGCCCGGCCCTGGGCGGGAGAAGTCATTTGATGATTTTCCCCACACAAAAAAAAAAAAAACACATACAAAATAGATACCAAACTGATAATACGCGTATAAAGCTATATCACTACTAATCAATAGGTTCTTCGTACACAGGGAAGGGATGGACTTGCTTGTGAAATAAAAACGAGTTTGGAAAAGCGTAGCGTTCACTACATTCCCTGACTTCGTGGGAGTTTTATTTCTATATAACCGTGGCATATTTACCACCTTATTCTATCATCTTTCCACAGATATTCTACATAAAAACAGACACATCAAGTAAAAAATTTAATTAATTTCAACAGCTCACAATTCAGATTATCTAGTCAGTTCTTGTCGGAGAGCCGTAGATGTTTACTTCACCTACATATCAGTAACTTCAAGTAACTACCGAATCTAGTTAAAACTCAGTCGTCTCATCATCAGCCTATAAGTGCCCACTGCTGGAGCAAAGGCCTCTTCTCACACGGAGAAGGTTAGAGCATTGATCACCACGCTTGCTCAATGCGGGTTGGCGATTTCAAACTTATAATTAGAAATTATAAGTTCAGGTTTCCTCACGATGTTTACCTTCACCGTATGTCAGTGGTGTCTAAATAATCATAGAAAGTACATATAACTCGGAAAAAATCACATTGGTACTTGCCAGGTTTCGAACCCACGCCCTCATGCATGAGAAGCGGGCTCCTTAACCTCCGGGCCACCACGACAATAAAACTCAGTGCTGGTGTTTAATTTCCTGGCATGTAGTCACCAACTTGGCTAGACGGCATTCACCTTTCATAATTCATTAGTCAGTCACACGTCAATTATAACTAAAGTTAAGTTGAAAACATAAGTAAGAATACTACTGAATAGATATGGATGTAAATTGTCACGGAGATAGATATTTGGATATATGGTTTCAAATAACAAATACTGTTCGTATGATGTGTATAAATCCCAATCAAAACTAATATATGACTGAACCGATTTCTGTGAAATTTGGTACAGACATAGTTTGGAACTCAAAAAACAACATGGGGTGGGTTTTATACCAAAATTCTGCAGGAAGTAACTATATTAATAAATGAATAGGCTACTTCTCATCCGAGCAACGCTGGCAAAGCCACTGACAGAATTATCTGTACTAATATTATAA